CCCCCCTAATACATGTAACTATTTTAAGTGTTTTAAATAGTGTTTCCAAATCTGTTAGACTTCTCCAGATTTTGATTTCTTTGATCGGGCCAAATATTCTTGTAAGATTTTCCTTTCCCATACAGCGAGTATGTTCGGTGTTTTCTTGGTTGTTGGTCCAAATACCACTACCGTACATTACCACTGGCTTAACCACTGGTGTTATAAGATTTCAACTTAGCAGTCGTTGAGATTTGGTAGACTACCATGACATCTATTACCTGCTGCTATTCTCTTCTTCACTTTATGATCAAGTAACTAATGTTTTCTTAATTTTGTATCTTGAATTGTTGACAATATTTTATAAATAGAAATAGTATTCAACAAAGCTAAACTTCTGTAGTTTTTACATTCTATTTTATTCCCTTTTTAATATATAGGATTTAAAACTGACATTTGCCAATCTTTTGGTTTGGAAATGAGACCATACTCTTTCCATATGAAAATTTAAAAGGAAAAAAATGGATAATATTTGAGAAAATGTTAGAGTGTTTCTGAAAATGGACTTTTTAGGAACTTCATTATACTTCTTGAGATTCAGAAGAACTTCAAAACACAATTTGGAACCATGTCCACAAATACATATAATCATGACAGATCTAATATTAATCTTAGTAAGTGCACAAGAATCAAAACAAAATTGCCTTGTTAAGTAACTTTTGAAAATTTCCTTCTATAATGAAAACTGACATGGGTCATAAGATTCAGTGATTTTTGCTTTATAACACAAAAAGGTTAATGAAAAATCTTGAAGATGATAATTAATAAAAATCTTTAGATATTTTTAGGAAAATGTCAAAATCTTACTGAAAACCTGTAATAGTTAAAAATTAAAAGTGATAATTAGGAGGTGGATTTTAATGAACTAAAACATTGACAAAATTCATCAATAAAATGTTTTTAAAATGCCCTAAAAACAATGAAAAAAGACATACAAAATTTGATCAAAACCACTCAAGAGGTTGGATATGTTACTCAAGTATATGAGGCCTTTTCCTTTCATTCAAGTGAAGTCAGGTTGCAAACTTTTGGTTTGGACTGTTCTTTAAAAGAAAATCTCTACTTTTATTTATTGTGAAATTGGCTAAGTACCATTAAAATGATATAATTGATGAAATCCACAAATAAATGACAGGAAAAGGTAAAAAATGACTTTAGTCAAATATTAGATGAAAATGCAAAAAAGTATAAAAATGCGTCATTTCCTTTTGTCCTAACATAAAATTAATTTCTATACTAATGACGTTTCATTAAAATCCACCCTGTAGTGATAAAATTGAATAGTACATAGAGGAAAAATCCTCTGGCTTCAATACTTTAGTGTATGAGAGGTTCCAAAACTCGTTAAACACTTGCAGTTTATGAAATTCAGAAGTTTTAATGAATGTTACTTATACTAAGACCTCTTACTCTAATTACGAGGGAAAAAAATTGGAGCTATTTGAGAGAACGTTTTGATGGTGTAGTATGTAGATAGTAAAAAGTACTACCAATAATTAAAAATTCAATTTCAGATTCAAAGGGCCTAAGTTAAATCAGAATCATATCGACTTTGGGGAAAATCCTGCAGACCTTGTTGAAAGTGCTAATGACCCCCCTCCTCATTGTGCTTGCTTCACTCACCCCACCCACATCAGATGTATTTTGGGTTACATAAGTGTGCTAATTTTAAATGTCAATCTTCCAATCATTAAAAGTGTCCTGTAAGTAATTTGTATACCAAAAAACTATAAGTCATATGTGCACCAAATCTGGTAGTCATTTATCCATTCACTTTTATTAATCCAAGTAATAGACTAGAGGGAATACAGAAACTTCCCCTTTCTTGACTTCTGAAAATTTTTACAAATAAGTGGTAGCTATTTCATAACAGTGGTAGTATGTCAACTGTACCCTCCTCTCCCCATTTTAACAAAGATGTGCTGAGAAAAACTCAGTACGATGATCAAGAATCTTAATGTGACAGTTTTCAGGTAATCTTTTTTTTATTATGATTTTTATTTTTACTTCTCAATATTACGGTAGGAAAAAAGGTATATTCTTAATCTTCATAGTGATTAAAAAAACTAATAGTTTCAAACAAAAGTGAAACAATTCCCTGAGTATGTAAGGACTTTGTACTCAATTTTACTATCAAATTTATAAAGAAATGCTAAAACTCAGCCATTTCAATTTGTTCAAGAAGTAGCGAGAACAGTTCAAAGTTTGGCCAAGATTTACACTTATGTCTAACTTCTGTACACTGACATGCAGGAATTTTTCTGTAGAGGTAACGTGTAGTAATTGCGTACTATACCTGGTTTGGGAACACTTTAGTATTATATTAATTTGTGTGATAATTGTAGTTTCAAAACTGGTCAAAAGACAGGTACAAATGGAAGATAAAAGAGACAGAATTTGATCGATGAAAGGGCTTCTTTTAAGATGCAACTACCATGACAAAACTAAGAAATATCAAAAAGAAAAAAACCCATGGCAAAACCCGGAAGGATAGTACAGTTCTAAAGCAAAAGTAATGTAACTGGAAAAAGCGATGAAACCGTTTCTTTAAAGGTGCATACAATTAACTTCCTGGGTCATTAGGGAAAGCTACAAGTATGCCAATTGATAATTTCATTTAAACATGCACACCTTTCATGTTCTAACCTAAATATTATGCCTAGGACCCGGGACCATTTTTAGGATTTTATAAATGTTATTTTAGCCTTTTAAAAAAAACAAAAAACAGTTTGGCTATAATATTTCTAATCATACCAGGATCAGGATGTATAGCATTTGCAATAAATAAGAAATTTAAATGACTAATTCGTGGTTTTCCTTCTTAACTTGAACTAACTATTCTAAAAAATAACATGAAATTAATAAATAACTTGCAATTTCTTAAATATTCTTGTGAAAATTAGAATACAAATAAAAATACATTTCCTTTAAGATGCACTTTTGCTGCACTATGTATCATCCCAAAATATGTTAAGAACTTGCTGTTGTTTCTCAACACCACTTGTGAGGAGCTAAAAGATTCATTGAACCCAACATGAAGTCACTGCTTAACAGATGCCACTATGCTTCCCAAAGGTAATTCTTCAGATAGTTCCTCTAGATGAACTGCTTGTACATCTTTTATCTGTGGTTAACCAGGATGGAGTTAGATTTTCAATCACTTTGACAAGCACATCACCTTTGTTTCCTGGTTCCAAATGTGTTCCATACAATAAATGTCACCCTTATTGTGAAATTTTAATAGTGATCAATTTTATCTATAAGTTATGCAATTTACCTCTTTATTGTGAAATAAAGTCTTTCTTCCTTTTCTTAGTTCTAAATTATGCAGTATATGATTCTTCATACAATAAAGCAACACAATTTTTTGACAGTAATGATACTTCACTCTTGTTGGAAATCTTATTTTTAATTTCTAAAAAACTAAAAAGGTTGTGCTAAATAGTAGCAAATTAGTGTTAAATAAAATTAAAAGAATTTACACTTTTAGGAATGGATGTGTTTTTAGAATGTTTAAGATACTGTAACTTCACCCCAAGTAGAGATTATGGATGCACACAAAATCATAAATATTGTAACGTGAGACATAGTAATTTATTTGGCAATATTTTATACATACATGCAAACTAATATTCATAAACATTTATGGTGTAGACTTGCAGTAGTAATGTCTTGGGCTACAACTATACAGTCTTTTGTACTTCACAGGTGGTACTAACATCTGATCCCAGTTCCTATTGCCATAAATGTACCAAAAGTTCCACCACCTTGAATCATCATTTTTCCCACACTATTTACCAGTTCACGTCCCCGCAGACCATACCTTTAATAAATCAGATTTGTTAATACACATTTCAACAAATAGTATGTATATTTTCCACACTTAACCTCACGCACCTGAGAGCAGAAAATCCCCCAAACAAAGCACCCGATGCCATTCCCACGCAAAACCCAATGGTGAAACCCATTTTTATCCTGTCCCAACACGAGGGTCCAGTTTGATATGCTCCAACCGGTACTGGCATTATCTGCAAACATTATTAAATTAATAAGTCGTAAGAACCCACGCGCCGCTTAGCTTCCGATAACTTACTTTCTGAAGAGTAGTATGACTTGTTTAGATTCACTACTTCACAGTTATATCGTCACCCCAACTTCGAGGCGTGTTGTGCAATTTCGTTTCCTTAAACTCGGGAGCTCACTGATTATTAGTTACCGTGGATTTAAGAATTACATACGAGCTTTCATATCACCATCGTGCTTCGCTTCAACTTTCTTGCCTACTTACTGCGGGAACATGATTGTGTACTGATCAGTTACTGATTGTGTCTCCCTCTTACGATTGTGCACGTAACCAATGGTGGCGCCACATTCAAGTGTCAATATTTTAGGGCCGTCATCAAAACTTCCGGAGGATTTATTGAAATCAACCTTCCCCTTCATTATGTTGATTACTGGCCTTTATGCTTTAATATTTTAGTTTCTATTAAATACATAGTTTAGTGAAAAAAAATACCACCACCGGATTCTTCTCAATTGTGAAAACAGCTTTGCACCGCAGAAAATCCTCTTGTAAATTGTATACCGTTGATTACTGAGAAAGTTGTCAGAATCAGTGTTCGATGTAGAGAGAATTATACCATTTAGCTGTAATATACTATTTAGTTGCAGAAAAAAATTATTGATATGAAAAGATGTGCCGACTGTGGGAGTAGTAATTGAATTAAGGATCCGGCTAGGTTTAATAGTTTATCTCTTTCAAGCATCAGTTTTAAATTTAGATTTAGATTTATTTAGTCAAAAAAAACCAGTAAGAACTGTGTGTGACGTATGGGGGAGAATATCATCATAAAAATGAACTATCAAATTGTAGTTGATTTGTTAAATATTCAATATTTTACAAATTTAAAAGAGATGGTGAACATAAAATCATGTTGTTGTTGTTTTTTTAAAGAATATTATGTGCAATAAAAATTTGAATAATTATGTAATAAATATAAATCATAAATAAACTGAATGAGATTGCCTTATTGGCTCTAAAAAGGTAATTCATACATTAATTTTTAACTGTGAATAAAGAATGTAAATTGTTGATAAGAAAATATTATTAATATTTTTCATTTTACTACTTGGTTTGATTCTAGTACTCTGCTGACACAGTGTAGAGAAAGTATATAATGTTGTGGGGGAAAATGTCAATTCTTCAACAGAAACTCTCTTAGTGTCAGACCATAGTAATGAAAAGTGGATAAATATTTTTCCTGTATATAGTAAATTACTTCCTCTACACTTTGTGTAATCAGAATCTATGTTTTGTGCATCACAATTACCGAACAATCGATTGGCGGTAAAACATCTGTAGTCACGGCTGGCGCCAAAAGTTTCAGCCGATTTTCTCCAAAATTGATATTTCCTGATCAATTGATCAAACGCAAACGGTAGTCCTGTGGCAGTGCTCGGTCGAAATTAAGATGAAAAAAGAAGAAGAAAAACTCACGAGCAGCGATACGCGATAAAGTTTTGTTCCAAAGACGCCGTCGGAGACTTTCGAGTTGCTTCAGTAGGCTTTTGATGAGGACTGCGCGTCATATTCACAGCGCAAAAATGTTCAAGTAGGGTCGTGAGCAGGTCACCCCTCAACGTCGCGAGATGAAAGTTCTGTTGACAAAGTGTGCGAATTGTTGAACTCTGGTCAAAGAATGAGTGTTCGCCTAATGTCGGAAATTCCGACATTCCGTGCACAAGATTGTGACGGAAAACTTACAAATGCGAAAGATGCGCGCCAAACGTGTTCCAAGAGTGCTCATCGATTGCCAAAAGAACAATCGAATGGAAATGTGTCAATGATTGTTGCAGTGTTGTGAGGGCGCTCCCCCAGCCGCCTTACAGACCTGGCCCCGCCCGACTCCTTTTTGTTCCCGAGGAATAAAAAATCCCTCAAAGAACAGTTTTTGGGGATCCCGGAGAACATCGAGGCGGCTACGACAAGGTTACTAAAGGGCATCCCACTGAAGGTCTTCCAGTACGCATATAAAGCATGGAAATTTTATTGGAACGCATGTTGAAGTAGGCGGGATGCATTTCGAAGAATAATGCGTAATTGTACGAATCGGTTCAATTAATTTCCTAAAATAAAAACGTGCGCATTATTTTCGGGACAGACTTTGTATTACAAGTATTGCTAGAAAGTTCGGGTTGTTATAACACCAGTAGTTTTATATTATAGAAAGATGAATGTTCGTTTGTTCTTAATTACCAATCTATAGCTCTATTGCTATTCTATACATATAGAAAAAAAGAAGAGAAAAGTAACTGAGATTTTGTAACTTCTTGCCTTTCCTACCTTTTAAACAAAATGTACGCAGTCTTTCAGTGATTTTCAAATACTTCGAAAACAGTGATGAAATCTGCTAATATAAAATAAACTTTTTTGAAAACCCATACAATTTATAATAAACAAGTTGATTCATTTCGATAGTGCAACTATTCCTGAAGGTCAACATTTACTAAAAGTTTGCCGAGTTAGCGACAATGCATCTACTTGTATTTAAAGCTTCCCAACTTCCTATAACACTTTTGGAGAAAGGCGTGACAGGGCAGGGTAGGACAGGGTGAAGTGGGGCGGGGAAAGGAGGAGGCCATGCAGGGCAGGCTCTAGTGGATCCGGCAATGCTTCGCTATTGCAATGTATTACACTTTACATGCGACTGGTCACGTTTAATCACGATTGACGCTACGCTATGCAAAAATTGCAATAGACGAAAGACTCGCGAGTGTGGTTCTGTCTGTCTCTGTCTCTCTCTCTCTCTCTCTCTCTCTCTGTCTCTCTCTGTATGTCTGTCTGTCTCTCTCTCTCTCTGTCTGTCTGTCTCTCTCTGTCTGTCTCTGTCTCTCTCTCTGTCTGTCTGTCTCTGTCTCTCTCTCTGTCTCTCTTTCTCTCTCTCTCTTTCTCTTTCTTTCTCTCTCTTTCTCTCTTTCTCTTTCTCTCTCTCTCTCTTTCTCTTTCTCTCTCTCTCTTTCCCTTTCTCTCTTTTTCTGTATTTGTCTCGGAAGAAATTTCACAATCGCAGGGGCAGAATACACAATGAAGACGTCTTAATAATTATACTCCAGTGTACGAGTGCCTTTACGTAGAGCGCACTGTTCAGGAGGCTTGAGTCAGCATAAAATCATCAAGGCGCATCTATGTTGGTAGACATTCGTATCGTACTATATTGTTCCTGGAAGTGCAGGCAATAAGTTGACAAAGTTTTATCGCAATCGGATGCACGGTACGGCAGCGCATTAAATATGAGCCAACAAACAACACACAAACATTGTCATTAAATACACACAAGACACAATTCATTCATTTTCTTATCTAATAGATTGTGATTAATGAATACACAGACAAACTGATCAGCTGGTACAAACAAAAATGTCAAAACTAGGGCGATTGAAACACCTTCACCCGCTCCTCTGATCGTAAATCAGGTAACTGTTACTTCTTTTCCTTTTCAGGTGCTACCATGTTCCAGTATTATGTGAAAATTGTTCCTACAACATACCACAGAAAAGACGGAGCTGTTTTTTATACTAATCAATTTTCGGTAACCCGCCATCAAAAGGTAAGAGTATCAAATTAAGAATCCAAAATGAATATTTAGTAGTTTAGGTATTATTATTATTATTATTATTATTATTATTATTATTATTATTATTATTATTATTATTATTACTACTACTACTACTACTACTACTACTACTACTACTAATGCTACATTTATAATTTATTTTAGACTGTTTCTATTAGCACTGGTGAATCAGGAATGCCTGGAATTTTCTTTAATTATGAACTAGCTCCAATGATGGTCAAATATACAGAAAAGGAAAGGTAAGAAAGAAGTTATTTTTTAAAATTTAATTGAAGTAGCTAATGATTCTGTCGTTCGCAGGAGTGTATTAGTTTTTGTACAAAAAAGGCAGTAGCTTATATCTCTACTCGAAAGAATTTTACTCTTTTTGAATTTCATTGCCTGAACACCAGGTTTTCCCTTAGAAAGAAATTTGAACTTTATACTTAAGCAAAATCCGCGACTTTTTAAAAATGAAAGGCAGGGGGTCCCAGATGTGTTATCACTGGCTGTTATTAAACGTTCTATAGTACAAACATAATATTATTTGATAGTATAGTATTATCTTAAAATTAACAGTAATAGTATTATTTTAAAATTAACAATGAACGCCTATCCGACGTCATTAGTTCACATTTTGTTGTGCGAATTACAATCGATCCATCTGTCGAAATTTCGTCGTTTGGCATGAACAAGCACGTGAGTGTGTGTGCGTTATTGTTAATAGTGGTGAGGGATGGCATTTTCGCGTAGTCATTGCAAGATCTGTCAAATATCCCGGACTATGTTTCTATAGCTACTGGGAGATGGGACATACGACATATTTGTCTTACGATGGCTTTTAAACTTTTTTTTTTTTTTTTTCGGGTAATAGGGAGTTTTTGTACCCTCGAGCGTTAAAGTAATCGACATCATTACCGATCTTCTGCACACGCGCAGTTCGCGTTTTGCATCTCTTGTGCATTGCGCAGAGAGTAGAGATGCATCTCTTGTGCATCTGCGCGACCTATTGCATAGACCTATTTACAACGCAATATTTTTATTGAAGAATTATTAGATATTGGTCACAATTAAATTCAAAATATGACAATGAAATGTGAATCATTGTGACCAGTTTGCTGATTTTTCAAAACATTCCATCTTCGTGACCATTAATACTCACAAGAGCTACAACACTTAGCATTTTGGCCATTATGATATGCATAAATATTTGATAACAAATGGGCCTTGCTTTCACATTGAGCATGTATATAAATTTTCACAGAATATTTATGTACTGTAACTTTCAAGATATTAACCTAAGGCACTTGGCAATTTTTTTGTATCAAACAATGAAATGTCTTCATTTATTTTCCCATGTTAATTAAATGGTATCATTTTAATTATTTTTGAAATAATCTAAAAGTTAACCTATTATTATTTAATGTATTGTTTAAAAGTATACTTGTATCATTTTTAAGAACTCTAACAAATAGAAAAATCTATTTGTTACCAGAAGCCATAGTTTTTGGATTTATGGTTAAGGAAAGTTATATCTTTCTTTGAAATGTTTATGTGATATTGTTCTCTCATTGGTCTTGTTATGTTACAGATCCTTTGGACATTTCGCCACAAATGTGTGTGCTATCATTGGAGGAGTCTTCACAGTTGCTGGGCTCATTGATTCTTTATTTTACCATTCCTATAAAGCAATACAAAAAAAAATTGAGCTTGGTAAAGTGAATTAATGTTGAAGGGTTTAAGAGATTTGTCATGTTTTTGGTAACATTCTTTTGTTCCTTTAATTCAGAATTTATGGCTGATATGGGTATTCAAAAAGAGATCTATGGCTACATTTTATGAAATTAAAGATTTCCAAATTAATGTAGTAAAACATGTATGAAAAAATTAATAGAAGAAAAATACTGATTTTTCCTGAATGAGTTCCTTCAAAATATGTAAAGTATGTTGTCTTTTGATATAAAAATCCCTACATAAAATGACTTCTTTTAATCAAGAAGACTCAAACACCAAACAAAACGCCCATATGCGTTTTCAAGCTGAAATTATTAGGAATTGTCGGGGAAACAACATTTTTCATTCATTGCAATTAATTTAGTGTTAATTTTAATGCATTTGTAAGCCAGGGAAGAAAATTCATGAAAATAACCTTTTGTTACTCTCACATAAAATTTTTACAGATGTACATTGGATTCACTACAAGACACACTTAAGGTAAATTCAATTTTTCCTTTTAAAAATTAAGTTATAAATTGAAAAAATATTTGTATAAACTGCTATTTGCTTTATTTCTCTTTTGCCAAAACATTCAGAAACCAAGCCAATTAATATTGTCTTGGCTTCTGGCTAGAAAGTTTTGCCTAAGATTCAGGTTTGTTTTGCATCTGACTTTTTTGCTAAAGATTTTGCTATAAATTAATCTTGTGTCTAAATGTAATTGAAGTGATATTAGACAAGATACACTTCAGTGTTGTGGAAGAATTTATCAGTTGTTCACATTCAATGCAACAGGGAGTATTGAAAATTCATACGAACCTAAAACTTTAATGGCTGTTTCATAAATTTGATGTAGCCATTACAGATGTGTGACATTCCATATCATTTATCTTTACTTTCGTTCATCTCATTTCTTTCCACTTCACATATATTAATGCTATTTTTATTATAAGACATCCAGAGATGGAGTACAGGAACTGAGGGTCAATGAGATCATACCAAAAAGTAATGCTACTCGAAAAACCAAAGCAGTGCGAGTGACAATGGGGTTAAAATCCTAATGCTAAGGAAATAAAAAGGAACAATTTCTTTATTTACAGTTTTGTGAGATTGTAATTTATTTGATTGTGCTTAATGTATTTTGTGCTTGTACGTTCATCTAAAATTGTCAAAGAAGGTAAATGAAAAAATGTGTGTGCTAATAAAACAATTGTCAATGATCATGCAATTTTTTTGCAAGAATGACCCTGTGTTTGAGTTGAGAGAAACTGTGGTTATGTGTTTTCCTTTATTAGGTATAACATAAAAAATCTCTGACTTTCCTTTATCATAATGCGAAGTTCAGTAATAATCCTAAAAAGCAATGTTTACATTTTCGTGGAAAAATATTTTGTCTAGGAACTTGAGACCAATGAATTATTTTCAAAATGCCTCTAATACGTTGAATTGAATTAAAAAAGTGTATGAACAAGGCCAGTGCCTAAACTATAAATACAATTTCCACATAATATATATTTCCGATATACATATGCATTAAAACCTGAATTTTCAAAAGGGAAATTATTAGAATTTTTTGGATCTTCGCATGTAAATTTAAAATTCGTAAATGTAATAAGGGACAGCAAAAAATTATGCTAATCCCATTTTCAGTTCAAAGCTACAAAACTGAAGATAGAGATTTTTGCTTCAGACAAAGACTATTGTGTACAAAACTAGCTCTTTAAGAAAGGCATTAGTGCCCATTTGTTGTAAACGTAGCTTTTACATAATTTCTGTTTAAAATTAATGAAGCATTATGGGCGTTCCGTCGTACATAATGATAACATTGTACTATTTCGAGAAACTATGTGCTGTTGTAGCTCTAGTTTATAAAACAATTTCCTCAACTGGCATTGCATGCTAGGAGACTATTCCACTCATGCAATTAAAACCATTAGTTCAGTCGGTTATAGTGAACTTCTGGGTCTAACATTTTTGGTTCACCATTTTGGGTGATGTCAAAATTAAACAAAAGTTTTCCTTAATGGCTACAGAGAAGCAGAACAGTCAATATTTCACATCACGAACTAAAAATTTCAATCTATCTATTTTCCCTTAAAGAAATTAATTTCTTTTTAATTGTTTACTTCCAATTGTAGATGCATAGATTAATTCAAATTTGTCGTTATTCTTGGAGTTCATCCATTGTGACGTATCTTTGAGATTATTTAAGAAGAAAATATTATACATTCCAAACTTCCTGCTTTCAAGAGGATTAATATGGCTCAAATACCCGCGAATTCTCTCTTGCAAGAATCAAGAATTCATTTGCGATGAAACACTTTGAAACAAACCTTCAACTGCTCCCAAAAGTGACCTACAGTAAAATACTTTAGCATCACCCGCATCACCAACACTTCTCAACCCCCATCAATTTCCGTCCTCAAGAAACTCTAAACGTATTATACCCTTCGCACCTACATTATACCTATTATGTCCATCCCACCTGGTTCACCACATCCTACAGAAACCGTATCAAACTCACGTTATCTGAATCCCGCGAACTTAGCCTCATTGCCTGCCTCCCCCCACCCTACACCGGCTTCGATAAGATCCGGGAGATCCATAAAATACCCCACATTTTCACCTAAGTCTACAATGCCTCGATAACTCATATCCGGCAATATATCCGAAATCCAAACTTCGACTACCACACCATCACATCCTACGAAACCCACCCCGACACATGGAAAAAACACCCCCTTGGCATTGTGCAACTTCCTCCTCCTATAACTATAACTAACAAAGGGTAGACCAGACAAATACACTTAACGATTAACAGTTGACAATGACTGGCCATACGACACGTATGAACCATAAAAAAACACAATCCCTTCCCAAAGGCAACTTTTCCTTCCTTGCCTCCATCGTCCAACTTACCTCAAAACACCGCATCTTCCATTAATAAAACAACCTTTTTTCTTCTTTTAATGTCATACACTGATTAGTGTGTAGGCTTGTCTGCAGAAGCCCCCAGTGTCGTCTTGTGAGACTTATCCTCAGCAAATATACTTGGAGTAGTTTGCCATTCCTTTCCCTAAGTGTGCCAATTTTGACGTTTGATTTCAGTACCAGATAGCGCAGGCCAAGATGCAATATCCGCAATCTTATCCAGTAATTCAAATAAAAACTCTGATTGGTGCTAAATTGCTAGAGGAATTAATCTTGTCAGAATTGGTCAAGTGCCTTTCCCAGGACCTGTTTTACACGCTGTTGATTTTTGGCACCTCAAAAATCACCCGACATTGACCGGGTTTGAAACTTGGCCGATCCTAGCGAAATTAAATCATCTTTTAATTTTTTTGTTCCAATCACCCAAATTTCCAATCCCCGTCCCTGTACGGGGAAGAGGGGTTCTAACAAAAAGTAAAAAAAAAGATCCAGAAGACAACCTCTCATGAAGTGTCTTGACTCGAGACTGACATACAACACTATTGACAAGACGAGGTCTAGGAGAAGAGTAGTCAGAAATCAAAACTCCAGGTCCTTCAGGTTGAGGGTTTGGCATAAGGGTCACAGTCCCTTCCGGGGGAAAAAAATTATTGCGAAGCCAAGGAGAAGCCTTGGACATTCTTCCTTTCGGAGACGAATAAGGATATCCTGGCTATGCAAGAAATGTGATGGGAAATAGGAAAAAGAACATCAAGTTTTTTTATAGCAGTAGTGTTTGACTTATTTAGTCTCAAAATTGCATTATGTGACATAAAGGGGGAGAAGTACCATCTGCACGTGATTGCTTGAGCTCTAGCATCTCTTCCCAACATTTTAACTATAAATGGTTGAGTAATGAATAAGAGTTTCAAGTTAGCAACTTTTGAAAACCAGACACTTGCACTCCCAAGTTATAGAAAACTTATTTGCATCAATAAACGAACTGCAGATTATTTTGTATTGGTAACAAAATAGTAACATGGATGATTAGTTGTTCTACGATATTAAAACAGTAACATATCCCCAGCTCTTCTCATACCACTACCTATAAGTAAAAGGTGAGCTCAAAGAGAAGCTACATTTGTGACCAGAAGCAAAACACAGGGCCAATTTAGCACCGGAGGAGGAGGAGCTGGCTCTAGTTTAGGAGTAATCTCTATAGTTGCTCAGAAAGTTTAAAAAAAGCTGTTATATACTTCCAAGCAATATCCGATAGAATGTGTAAAAAAAAAAAAAAGGTGCTTTCTTAAAGATACATATAATTAATGTACATGCATCAACTGAAGAAAAACTAGAAGAAAAGGCATTCTTCCATTATAAACTGAGAACGGTACATCATCAATGCCCTAGGCACAAAATCAAAATAGTATTAGGCAACCTAAATGCTCAAATAGGGAGAGATGGTAGACATAAATTAATTTTGGAAGCAAAAGTATTCATGCAAGGTGTAATAACAATGGTTCGTATCTGTCAATGTACGCCATATCAAGGAATATGATAATTGGAAGTACAAAATGCCCACAAAGGAATGTGGAGAACACCATATGGAAAAGTAGATACACAGATAGATCATGTCTTAACAGATGTTGATAGGACTAGTAACCACATGTGGAAGAACACCATGCAGGGTTTAGATCTGGAGGTTCAACAACAATCCAAATATTTGTTATCTGACAAATTTTGAAAAAATCTTCTGGATATAGCATATGAACACATCATGTGTAGGTAGATTTTCAAGCAGCCTTTGATAGTGTAGGATAGTGAAGAATTGTATCGGATAAAGGAAGAAATGGTAATTCCACTTAAGCTTATTAGACTAGTTAAAATGAAAATAGAAGGTAGTAGTGCACAGGGGAAAATCCATTCTACCTTTTCAGAGCCAGCCAATCATTTGGGGGCGGTGGGGGGGTAATGTAGATTTTTGTTAAATAATAAACAAATTTGTTATTATATTGTAAATTATTTAGATACTGTAGACATTATACAATACAATATAATTTTTTTAATAATTAGATAAATTGAACATAAATAAATATTTAAGTCAATTTTCCAAATACATGAAGATAAACAAAAACTCTTGGTCTTGGGGGGGGGGGGATATGGCCTCCCCCTGGAACCGCCAGTGTCCTATAGAGATACAAGGTGATGCATTAGCATGCTTGCTGTTTAATAACGCTTTAGAAAATGCAGTTAGATAGTCAAAAACACATAGAATGCCATTTATTCAATAACAGTGTGCAAATATTAGAATTTGCAGATGATGTTGGTATTATAACAAGATCGTCGGAAGCACTTGAAGCATTTACAGCTCTGAAAGAAGCAGTGAGGAAGATATAACTAAAGGTTAATGTAGAAATAACAAAGTACATGAGGGTGGCAAAAAAGATAGATAATAATGGATGCCAACCACTTATAATTGGGTATTATTTGTTTGAACACATTAAACATTTTACATACTTTGGAATGAAATGGTATGGTATAAATACTATACTTCAAATATAATCAGTGAAGAAATAGTCAAGAATTAATGGAACCAATAAGAGCTTGGGGTATATAAACACTTTAGATCCCAGTTGATTTCAAAGAAAAAATACTGTTCCATAAAACATTTCTAAACCAGTAGTAACTGAGGCTGAATGCTGAACATCTGACACAGATGGCGTGAAATTAGATACATTTGTAAGAAAGATCCTTAGAAGAGCTTCTGTACTGGAACAATAGAGGAATATGGAGAAATATGTACAATCATAAACTGTGTGCATTATATGACAAGCCACGTCAGGACAGAACACATTAAAAGGATGGAAGAAGAATGTCTATAAGAAGATGGTTGTGTGCAGTACAAGTGCTGGTCAAGTTAATTGGAAGAGACTTAACTTGGACGCCAAGACTCACAGAGATGTAGGACATGTAATGACGATGGAAACATTACAAAGCAGTTAATTATGAATTAAGAATGAATAAAGTTATACATATTTCATAGACTTTTAGTGCACATAAATTCAGTCCCTAGTTACGAGTTGTAACAAGGAATATAGGGGTAGATAAAAAAATCTTAATTATGTATACATATGTTTTTAATGGATTCGTTCAAAGATAAGCTTTTAAGCATAAAAGCCACTTACTTCTTTTACCTTAGATTTATATATTTTTAATGTTGGATGAGAACCTCTTGATATTCATTATGCAAAACTTTACCTTATTAATTAAAACAAAATGGACAACTATCTATACCATAAATCTGTGATGGTGCTCAATATGTCAAATACAATTCAGTTTGAAATAAACCAAATACAAATGAGTTTTCAGGAGACGCTATCCACAGTCCTTCAAAATTAATATTTTATTTACAATAATGTTGCAAGCCCAATAAAAGAATTTCACTCTTAACACCCTACTTCAGGGAGGACACTGCAAAATTTAACTGGATAACAACAAATACCAATAATCAGCTCTTTGATATATCTGGTTCTGCCTTAGTACCATGGAAATATAATATATTCTTCTAAATAATTAATGAAATAAACTTTATCACACCTGACATATTTTCTTTACTTGAAATGGTTTCCTGTCCATATCTTCCTTTTAATTAACATATTGTATTTTTTTATTGAAGTTCATTAAGTCCTACATATTTACCTCACCCCCAAATATTGTGATATCCCAATTATAAATTCTTGTGATCAGCTCAATTTTCGAATTCATGAAAAAGATATTTATGCTCTGGCTATTTAAAATTCATTTAAATAGACAACCAACTTCTAGGTCCCTATGAACTTCAGCCTTCTTTCGTTGTTCTTGAATGGAGGTCAAGTACTTCAACTTGTGTGAAACAACAAAGTATAACAATGAGCTCATACCTAAGGATATGTTTTTTGTTTGTGGAATTGACTGTAATTTTCTCATGAAATAATTATAAACGTTGTCACGTTTATAATTATCTCATGAAAAATGCCAACGATAATGCACCACAACACCTATATGTAATTTTCTCAACCTAAAAATATCTCATTATTCTGTTGTATTATTCTTTCTTTCAATTGCCTATTGAAAATTGTTGTGCCTTTTGTATTCAACTTCTGACACGGAAAACAAATATTTTATAACTGATTTAATATTTTTTTATTGAGGATATTGGGTTAACAAAACCAGTACAAAGACCTTATGAAAAATAATTTGAAAGCAATTATTTTGTAATTCCTCGATAATAATTTAAATGATTTTGTTACAAATTTAATTTTAACATATGGAAGTCTCTGATCATCAGAAGTAACAACTAAGATTAATAAAATGCATTCTGTAAATTTCAACTTTATTCATACTAGTCACAACATGTTAAGCAGACACTTTTCTGCAGGCTCTTAAGTTTTGGTGTATCTACAAAATTCTCAAATGTTTAACGAATATACCTCTATTATTTTATATATTTTATTAACAGTAAATTTTATTATTATTGGATCAGGCATTTCCATTCTTTGTAGTCACGGATTTTTAATTATCATCACAAATGGAAGCAAGAACACCAAGACTAGTGTCAATAAGGTAACAGAACTGTTCGAATAAATATAGTATGTGCTTCCAGATCAAACTAATAACACACTACAATCAAAGATGTCCTGATTATTGCATCAAGCATAACCATCTTCATTGTCAGAAAAACCTTGTCACTGTTTTTCCAAAATTTATTTATTAAAGTATGCAAACATGCAAGGCAACCAAAAGAGGCACAGGCCCTGACTTAATTGGGACCCCAAATATTTGTTCAATCAAAATAAATAAAAACTGTATTCATCTCTAATCCAAATTTAATGTTTATTGCTGATGCATGGAGAAATGAATTCTATTTATGAATTGGGGGAGGAGAGAATATATTGTTTGACATGAGGGGTCCCCGTGAATGAACAGCTCCATCCTTGTTTTCTCTAGGTGCCCCTGCATGAATTATCAAATAGCTGAATATGCACAATACAGGGTAAAAATGAACATAGAAGTAACAGTAAGGCTTAGAAGCCTTAGTAACAGTGAACTAACAATTTTTTAAAATCGCCCTCCGTTAAATTTGTTCTTATGTCAGAAAAAAAATGTTTTCATTGCAGAGAATAACCAATGCGGAAATTGGCAATAACACAAAATATCAGTCTTGCTTCACTGTTTTGCTTTTAAATGTTCTCTGAGATTTCTTAATACATGACCATTTTGAATATGTATACACTTGCAAATTTCTCATACTACTTACTATTGTTGACATAATTATTTTTTAACAAACATAACTGTGACTCTTGTTCTTTGAATGAAAGAAGGAAAAAAAAAACATGAAATACCAAATTTTATATTTTTTTTTTCAATAGCATTAGTAAAATTCAGGGACTCAAGAAAAATATTTGAAAAGAGCATGTGTACTATCGCATTCAATATTTGTTTAAAAAAATCCGCCAGTTTCCATAAAACAATTTTTTGAACATCAGAGTCAAATGGAAACTGAAAAAAATAAAAAGTAATTTCCAGAAAATAATCATCACCATCTGAAGAAAAAAATTCGTTTTTCGTTTCGCATATACTTCGTTAAAATTGTTAGACTTATTTCAAAGTTTCAGCATCTTACAAGTGCCTATACAATTTGTAAACATCAACAGACTTGAGCGCAATATACTTGAACTAATAAACCACCAGCAATAGCTACGAACTGATTGAGTTATACTCTATACTTACTTCATTACAGCAACTGCAATAAATTACTTTTCCATCCGCCCTTCCACATTTGCTTCTTCCAATCCGTTGTTGTGTTGGCGTGTTGCGAAAGCCGGATGAGAAAATTTACACTTCACGCTTTGCTTGAAAGTTTCGTGACAAGTTAAAATTAATAGTTATAGAAAAGTTTTGGTGGGGACGTTTCCCTCACTTCCTCCTCGTGGATCCACGCCTGTATTAATCCTCCATCACACGCAGACCTTCAGTATGTACTTCGTTAGTTACTTTTTCCTCCCATTGACAGTTATCAAGAGATTTTGTGGTTAATCCAGTTATGTCCTTATACATTTTGACTAACGGTTTGGCGCTCATAATTTCGAAATTGTCCCACTTCGTAAGTTTACCGGAGGATGAAACAACGTGGTCTAGTTGCCAAGACGTGCTCTCAGGAAACAATACTGTACGACTCACATGCATCAATTTTCATATTATGCTTCTCTGGATAAGCTGTGACTGAAAACGCACCCAACCCTTCACTAAACGATTTTTTTCGATAAACAATCTTTTGCCATGAAAATTAGTACCTATATTGCATGGGAATCCTATAGTACATCAATAACCTGTTCCCTCAACATGTTGGTTGAGATGTTTTGAATTATAAGATTTATGAATTATTCAACATTCAAACAGTCTAAAGTTAGAACCCAATTTTAAGTTATAATTCGTCAGCGAAATATTAAATAAAACAACCCTTTGTACATAAGCTTTGTTACCATCTCATCTTTTCTTGTTGCCAAATTATTTGAATGGTTTCATTTATTAACTCTTTTCATTAAGTTAAAAGGCTTGCATTTTAAGTTAGTTGGTATACTTCATCAGCATGTTCAAAATACACATTTCAGAGTAGAAAAAAAAAATTGATATTTTTATGTTAATTAAATTTTAGAACTTAAATACTAGAAAACTAGGGAAGATAGGAATTGCTTAGGTGTAAGAAAAACATTTTTGTATGCCAATTACTTTAATTTTTATAAACTGAAGAAAATTTAACAGAACATTCAGGTTTGCCAAAAATCAAGTGAATTCAGATGCAGAATAAATACAATAAATTTTCTTGTTTCTTGCTTTAAGCAGACATCTCACTTTGAAAATTGACTTTAAGTTGTGTCTGCAATAATACTGATTCTGGAATGAAACTTTAGCCATGAACTAAAATGGTTGCAAGTGATGAATTGTTTAATCAACTTCTTCAATAGTAGGTCCAGCACCGGCTCCAGCACCAGCAGCACCACCAGGTCCAGGAGCAGCACCGCCACCAGGGAATCCACCAGGAAATCCAGGCATGCCACCAGGAGCTCCACCAGCACCCTGGTACAACTTAGTGATTATTGGGTTGCAGAGTGCTTCAAGTTCCTTCTGTTGGGCCTCGAATTCTTCTTTCTCAGCAAGTTGGTTAGAATCCAGCCAGCGAATGACCTCATTGCACTTGTCCAAAATTGAAGTCTTGTCAGCATCTGAGATCTTATCCTTCAGCTTCTCGTCTTCAACAGTGCTCTTCATGTTGAAACAGTAGGATTCAAGGGAGTTCTTAGCAGCAATGGTCTGTTTCTGTTTGTCATCTTCAGCACGGTATTTTTCAGCATCATTAACCATACGCTCAATTTCTTCCTTGCTAAGACGACCCTTGTCATTGGTGATTGTGATCTTGTTTTCTTTTCCAGTAGATTTCTCAATAGCAGTTACGTTCAAAATACCATTAGCATCAATATCAAAAGTAACTTCAATTTGCGGGACACCACGTGGAGCTGGGGGAATGCCAGTCAGTTCGAACTTTCCAAGAAGGTTGTTGTCCTTGGTCATGGCTCTTTCACCCTCGTAAACCTGGATGAGTACACCAGGTTGGTTATCAGAATATGTGGTGAAAGTTTGGGTCTGCTTGGTTGGAATGGTTGTGTTCCGCTTGATGAGGGCCGTCATGACTCCTCCAGCAGTTTCAATACCCAGAGACAATGGTGTAACATCAAGCAAAAGGAGATCTTGAACCTCCTCAGACTTGTCACCAGCCAAAATTGCAGCCTGCACAGCAGCACCATAAGCAACAGCTTCATCAGGGTTGATGGATTTGTTCAATTCTTTGCCATTGAAGAAATCTTGTAGGAGCTTTTGAACCTTGGGAATGCGAGTAGAACCACCAACAAGAACAATGTCGTGAATCTGAGCCTTGTCGATCTTTGCGTCACGCAAAGACTTCTCAACAGGTTCCATGGTGCTGCGGAAGAGGTCAGCATTCAATTCTTCAAAGCGAGCCCTAGTGATAGAAGTGTAGAAATCTATTCCCTCAAAGAGAGAATCAATTTCAATACTGGCTTGAGTTGACGAAGATAAAGTACGCTTTGCTCTTTCACAGGCAGTACGTAGGCGACGAAGAGCTCTCTTGTTGGTTGCCAGATCCTTCTTGTATTTCCTCTTGAATTCTTGAACGAAGTGGTTCACCATTCTGTTATCGAAGTCCTCACCACCCAGATGAGTGTCTCCAGCCGTAGATTTCACTTCAAAGATTCCATCTTCAATGGTCAGAATTGATACATCGAAGGTGCCGCCACCCAGGTCAAAAATGAGAACGTTTCTCTCACCATGACCCTAAAACAAAGAAGAAGCTTGTTAGATTCAGTAAATTTTAACTTTATAAGTCATGAAATCAAGAACAAAAAAAAACAGATGTCATTTGTTACTCACATTACTCACCTTTTTGTCGAGGCCATAAGCAATGGCTGCAGCTGTAGGCTCATTGATTATGCGAAGAACATTCAAACCAGCAATGGCACCAGCATCCTTTGTGGCTTGTCTTTGGGAATCATTGAAATAAGCAGGAACGGTAATCACAGCATTTGTAACATTCTTGCCCAAATAAGCCTCTGCAGTTTCCTTCATCTTTGTGAGGACCATGGAACTAATTTCCTCAGGGTAAAAAGTTTTAGATTCTCCTTTGTACTGAACTTGGATCTTTGGTTTTCCACTGTCGCTAATTACATTAAATGGCCAATGTTTCATGTCAGCTTGAACAGTTTGATCTTCAAATCTTCTCCCAATAAGACGTTTGGCATCTGGAACAATCAGTTTAAATTTAATATTTCTGTGGTGCTTGCCGTTTGTGGCACAGGCTTAGCCATGCAGTGAAGATTACACTAATGCATGGCAGAGAGAAAATTGAATTTCTTGCATTAAAAAAAATTTGAAGGTCTCAGATTAATCAAGAATGAAAAATAAACCATCAAAACAGTTTTGACAAAGCTAGGGACTTTCCAGAATTTTATTATTATAGCTCACATGGATGTTCTGTTATAACCTAATAGTGTAATGTTCAATTTGTTGGGTTTCCTCACACCAATGCACAAGTACCAATATGACTAGGCAGTTCGTGTAATTTTGGTCTATCACAACCACCCTTTGTTCTGATCAAGATCAAGCATTGAAAACCTGGTTAGACCTACCCCAAAACATATCCCTTCAAATTCCTAGTTTTTAAAATTCAAAAAAGGACTTGCAATCAGAAGTTTAAAATCAGAGTTCAGCATAAAAATGGAAAGTCTTGCATTGCCATGTGGCTTGTAGCTTATTGAAAACTTTACTATTATTGCATTTGTGCAGTATTATACAGCAGCTTAACACTTAAGTTGAAGTGAATCAGTTTAAATCAGAAGATTTAAAGACAAGCCATTTGAAAACTCAAGTCTTAAGAGAGCAGGGGAGGAAGCACAGGAAAGTGCTACCTATTCAGATTATCCAAATAAAAACGAATTAGGGAAATGCAAATTTAATCCACTTCACGATTCTAGCAATCTTAGAACTCGAATCTAATGAAGTTCGATATGTAGCTAAATCACTAAAAGCAAAAAAAAATACGTAGTTTCTACGAAACTTGCACTCCGCCCGCTTAATGCAAATCAATACTCCTTTGCGACCATGTTACTAAGCCACCATTTTGTGAATTCGATTACACGATTCCAAAGATGAAAATATTTCCAAAATCCAAAACCTCGGGGTGAATCGCTACCTCAAAACAAACTGATTCCATCTACACTGCTATAAATTAAAAATTATTGATTAAACATACCAAAAATTGTGTTATTGGGGTTCATGGCCACTTGATTTTTGGCAGCATCGCCAATAAGGCGCTCAGTCTCAGTAAATGCAACATAGCTGGGCGTGGTTCTGTTTCCCTGGTCATTGGCAATGATTTCTACCTTCCCGTGTTGAAAAACACCAACACAGGAATAGGTAGTTCCAAGATCAATACCAACCGCAGGCGCTTTGAGAGCCATTTTCTGAAACGGAAGTACAAAGTTAGAGGATAAAATCAATGCTTGAAAAGGGCATTTGAAAGTCAACGGTGATACACACTATCCTTAAAAAGAGTGGTAACTATTCATTAACAATTCACTAAAGTTTGAAATTTTTTACGACTGAAAATTCTTTCCAAATAGAATCTAATGTTAAAACAAAATCTAAACAAATACGAAACAGTAACTACGCTCACAACAATTACAATCCTAACACTCACCTTTAGATAATAGCGCTTTGAATTACAGATAAAACTCGAAGACGAATTAACACACAACTTAACTTCACTTCACACTCCTCTATGCTAACTTGTTCTGCTGGGGCGTCGGCGGCCGACCTCTCTTTTATAACGTCGATGACGACCACAAGCTTCTAGAAACTTCTATCCGTCCGGCCAATGGGAAAGCAAAACGTCACGCCGAATGTTCGCGCGACAATCGACCAAAGCAGGTAGTTAAAATTACATATTTCGTCATTGTAACCATTAATTACGAAAGTTTATTACGATTTTCTTTTAAATTATTTTTAATTTTCATTTATGGCAAAGATATTTGTATAAGATTATCTTAAAATCAATCAATGTTTCTTTGTTTCTCCAACAGCGAAAACTGGAGGCATCTAGAAGCAGCTGAAGTTTGAAAATAGCGTCAGGCGGGAAACCTCAGGAACATTCCAGACTGTTCCAGGAGGAAGCACATCCTCTCTAGAGGGAAGTAGCAAAATTTTGCTTTTATTGTGTCACTAATAAACGAAAATGAAGGAAAGAAATATCTAGTAGCCTTACTACGGTAATTTATTTACGTGTTCAAGAACAGTAGAAATGAGAAGCAAGCGAATTTATGCGAAACTGTAAAACACGTATGTACATAGTAATTCCGATTTACTTCCGATAAATGAAATAATTTCATTACTATGACGTTGTACTAAATATTATAATAGCAATATAAAATTCAATCGTAAATGAGTATTCAATTTTTTGTAAATGGAATGGTGTGAAATATGTAATTGGAAAATGCTGTATGAATTGCCACGCTCTGTTAAAAAACGTGCAGTATTATCTCAATATCTTTATACACATTGATTTAATTTAAGGAAACATACAGAAAATGATACTTTTTTCCTTAAAATTTGCAATGTTTGTTTTGCTATTTAGAAACCACACATGATGTTGTTTGAATATTTTTTATATTCGTCTGTTAATTTAGGCTACAAATCTAATTAGGTCAACAGAATATGAGCCTTTAAGGAAACTCAATATTGTGTCTTTTAAAGTAAAGTCCCAGTAGTTTTTCAAATTACTGATTGATTTATTCCTGAAATAGAAATGCTAATCGGGCAATGTGCTGCAAGGACTACTGCATAAAAATCGATATTACAATATGGGGCAAAGTGTAAGCTACTAGAACAGAGTCGAAGTCTCCTGAAGCTTCGAGCTTTGCTGGGAATGAAGCACGAGAGCAAGGTTTCATAACGCGGGATGGCGTTCATCTCGAGAACGATGTACATAGAAATATAGTATATTATGCCCTATGGAATTTTTTCACAGTCTCGCCGTTCTCACTGTTCGAGATTTCTGTTGATTTGTTCATAACACGCAAATAGTTAATTTGAAGTATTTGCAACTTCCTTGTAACTAGATTCCGTCTACAAAATAAGCTTCATCTCGAATAGCTATTATATTGTCAATTAATTTGAAGCATTGTACTATTGTAATCGAATTTGGAGAAATCGGAAGCAACCGAATGCGGACGAAGAAAATACATTTGTTCTAGAATAATCTGGCAGTCTAGAAACGTTACATGCAACCGGATATGTTATTTCCTGCCAAGTAATAAACGATCTCATAACGGAATTTTATCTTGATTTTATCATTTGGCGAATCATCTCGTAATCCTTTTCTTGATAATGATAGTTTCTTGTTAACTAACGTTTTCCGTGTTCGCATGCTCTCTGAGCAATTGAAGTGGTGACGTGATTGCATTTCACGTAATTCTTGATTCGAGACCAGGTTGCATGTCCTTGCGTTTTGTTGTACTTGTACTACAATATTCCCTTGCTAGTGTACAGAAATGCGTTCTGTTAAACTTCACAATATTCCCTTGCGACACACGACTTGTATTGAACCCACTCTGTCATTGAAAGGGTTGATGTTTAACCCTTACCGTTAACAATTTGGGAAACACTCATCAACTTCAACAAAATTTTTAGATTATAACCTAATTAGATCAGTGCCCAGTCCATCTCCGTACCACAAATAACCGTTCAAAAGAATAAAATGTATGTCGTATGCATGTTGAATGTATTATATAGCATGAATATACCATATATACGACATATGAATGAAACGGATGTGGAAAGTAGTTCGGTTTGTAAGGGCATTGCGCCACGTGGGTCGTTTTCAGTGCATACATTTTGTAGATACTGAAGAGACATTAAACCAAATATACTCTCTGCATTAAACAAGCATGTACTGTATTGAGGGAGGGTAATGTAATTTTTGTTATAGGCATATGTATTGAAGTTATACTAAATATTTGAAACGAAAGAATTCCAGAGATTCACATTTTGATTCGTGGTAATTTGTAACTCCTTGTTATCTTTGGGTTTGTATTCATAATGGTGAAATGATCAGGATGAAATTAATTAATCGCACAATTAAATTATTAGGGAAGTTTATTAAAAATATTGCAAATGTTACATGCTGACAATTAATACAACGTTCTTCAAATTGCTGGGTATCATATGAAACGATGCTTTGCTCGAAGGATTTAACAACAGGTTCAAGGATGAATCATTTCCCTCAATTTAATAATGATTTCGTGACTGAATACCAGATTCGAAGATTTTACTAAGAATATGGGTACCGTATGGATTTTGTATTAATGTGACCAATGTTTCATGTATTAGATTGCTGGCACAATAGTACATAGGTTCATAGGTATAAGTGTTCATAGGTTAGATAATGTAATATAAACCTGTGTGTAGGCAGAATCAATAATGGATTTTTCTTGTATCAGTTGTGGAAAGGTTGGCTAGTTTGGTTTTGGCGGAAACTTATGGAATTCCCAGATCAAGGAATAGAGATCGAAATATGTTAAATTTAAATAATAACAAAATCACAATGTTGACTAATTCTATGTTGTAAAGGATTATTTCATTCTATTGTGATTTTATTATTTTTTTGATACAATAGACCATTGTCGACACCAAGGATTGAGACCAAATGGAATGTTGAATATTCAGTTGTCATGTTTATGGGTCATTTCTTTCCTTTAAAGTACTTGTTAATATGTTATTGACTCATGAGTATCAATAATACAAAATGTTATTTCTCTAATCTGTGTTTAATAAGTTGGGCTGTACTGGAGACACAGTATTACTTAGATTTGTGATTGCATCGCAAATGCACAGTATTGCTTGCATTTGTGATTGCATCGCAAATGCACAGTATTGCTTGCATTTGTGATCATTATCACAACCTTGTTCCCAACCACCTGTAAGTTCCAATTCAAATTACTACGCAATGTGATAAGAGGTTTTCCATCAACCCTCATTTATGAAATGCATATTTCAAATATGTGTATTTATGTAGGTGTGTAGTATATTCATTAACTAAGGAGTCAAATGGGTAATTAATAGTGGAGTATTGCATGATTTATCAGTTGAAAGTGATAACTAAGCCAAATTCAAAACAATAGATGAACTGCTGACAAATATATTTATTTATTCATAGTACACAGGGGCAGATCCAGCTGATCATTTTAGGAGGAGCCATCGTAGATTTTTGTTAAATAATGAACATATTTGTTATATTGTATATTATTTATGTACGGAAGATATACTATATAATATTATTGATTAAATAATTACATAATTCAAACATGAATATTTAAATCAATTTTGCCAAATAAAGAAAGGTAAATGAAAACTCTAGGCTTGGGAGGAAGGGCATAAACCTCATGGCCCCACCCCCTGGATCTGCAAGTGATAATACAACAGATAGGCAAATAAATCTGATAATGTCTGCGATCTTAAGTAGCATTTACATATCATGAATCAAATGTGTACGTTTCATTATGAATTTTTTCACAGCATATTACAAACTTGTCCACTATTAATAAATATCAGAAAAGAGTAACCAAACCACAATATGTGACAATAATAATGATAATGAGCTGAATAATTAACGACAACTACATATGACAATCTGATTATAGCATGTTCTGTTTCACAATACAGGATTATAAATTGCAATTTGCCATACATTTAATCACACAAAATTTAAGATAAAAATTCTAAAACAAAAAAATTGTAAGTTCATTAGAGAACAGTGTAAAATTGTAAATATTTCTTGTTGATGTATCAAAAAATAAGACTACTCAGAAGTAAATAGAACCAAAAAAGTATAAAATAATGCCCAAATGAAACTATACTATCAGAATGTCTTAGGACTGTAATAGTAATGTACATAATGAGAACGGAAAAGGTTTAATTACAAATAAGGTTTCCAGCCAAGGCTGGAGTTTTTGAATAATTAATGTAATATTTCAGCCCAATTGTGATAACATATTTTACTTCGTAGTACGTCACATTCTTACTTTTATTGTAATTTTATATTGTAATATTTGTGATGTACAAGTGCCAATAAAGAATTGCCACGGAGCCAGAGCCCTCTAGAATCTTGGTTCTTGATATCTATAAAACAATTGCAGTACTTTAAGTATTTTAAAATGGAATTGAAAGATAAAGTGAAGCTTCAGAAAGTGATATTAGATAAATCTAATGTAACAATTGAACAATTAATAAATTAGACACAGGAAGAAAGGTATAAAAAAGAATATGAACAGGTTTATTCCTGGAAAAATACAACTGATGTTAACACGGTTAATGAAAATATAATATTGGTATACTTATCTATCTTGGTAAGTAGTTTGTACTGCAGCTAGAAGGCACTGTATTTTATTTCATAACTAATAATAATAATTTTGCTACTTTCCAAGAAAGGGAATTTCTGCTTCCTTATGGTTAAAATATTTCATGATTAAATCTATCTTATTAGTTCGATGTAATATAGATGTTTCCAAGTGTTATAAATTGTCCAAATTTCTTAAGAAAGAGTTGGATATCACCCAACGCCAGTGTCTGACTTGTGTATCGTAGGCTGTCATATGTTTTGGCGCCCTTCCCTCCCCACCTTTTTTTTTAAAACGCAAGTCCAACTTTACAGGTTTTACTGTGTACAATATTTTTGTATACATTTTACGTGAATACATTAATGGATATATTTTATTAATTAACACTTACTTTTGTTACAAATACGGAAATAAATATTTCTTTAAAAAACATTGAAAAGTTTCCCTTATGAAATTTTGGACATGCTGAAATTCGTCTGGTTCCACAAATTGCAGCCTACTCAGCCTGTTTAGTTATTTGGCAATGCCAAACGCAATGGAAAAGAAGAGGCAAAGTGAATTAAGAGTGTACAATTAATATTGATATAAATATT